AAAAACAGAATGAAAGACAAATGGAGAAGGAAGGCCCATGTGGCAAGAACAAATTTGCCCTTTAAACAGCATCTTAGGAAGGCCATCTTCGTCATCTGGTCTACATTTTCCACTGACAGCACATCTCAGCTTGGACTGGCCACATTGCAAAGGCCAGCAGTCCCATGAGGTTGATGTCTACGGTGTCGGCCAGCCCTGGTCCATACAACAGTTAAGTTCAGGTGGATGAAGCATTCAGTGCTGCCTCCAAGTCAAATAAAAATTCTATTTTTCTCTTGATGAATTCTAAACATACAAGGTGGCTGAATGGGTCAAATGTAAACTTTACTTTTCATAACTGAAAGTTATAATCATCGAGAACAGGGAATCTCAGAATGGATTAAAACGTCCATGAAAGTTGAAAAGATTATTTGGCTAGGGGATAAATTAGTTAAATGAATTTGAGAAAAACGTTTAAAAATTATCATATTCTAGTTAATCAAGATTCCCATGGCCAGATGAGTTGCAGTGACTTATTCTGGGAGAAGGCAATTTCTTTTGCCTGAATTAAGAATTGGGTGTCCTATGGGACACACCCTGAGTACTTGCCTATTGAAAGGCAGGCTTGGGACTACAACCCAGATTTTCTGACTAGACTGGAGCTTGAGGGTTTGGTCCAGGAAACTTCTTTTGTGTGGCAAATTTCCATGGTGACTATTATCCTTAGATCTGGATTAATGAGAATACCAATAAAAATCCAATAATAATAATAATAACTCTAGAAGCTAAGCTAAAATAGGATATGGAAATTTCCCCTTATCTGATGGATGTCGTTCCTGGTCATAGTTTAATGATTCTTCATGATATGGCACAGAAAGAGTGTCTATGAGGCCCAGCAGAGCCCCGCATGTGCAGGCCGCAAGAGCAATCATTTGCTAAATTATTCAAAAATAGAGCCAATGTAGGGCATTGTCTTCCTTAGGTAAATATGGACAATCTGCTCGGAGCTTCCGAATTTTAATGTATTTATACTGTGGCAGGGGAAAATCTGGAATATGTACTTCCTTGTGGACCAGTTAGGCTTGATCCTAACGTCACCAATGCAGGGGTCCAGCTCTCACGTGGGAGCTGCAAACTCCCGCAACCTATGAAAAATGAGACTTGGAATCTAATTCTATAGTGCAGTTAATTCAGGGTGTGTTCTCCAGCAAGTCACTGAACCTTCCTTGGAAGCTGCCAATGAGAATAAATCCAGTGGTTTTTCTGAAAATCTTATCTGTAGTAGTTGATTCTAAGGCAAAATAATTTTTTCAATGCTGGCCCTCTGCCTGTTCGTACGTGCAAAGCTAGCCTCAGTCCTGCTCTAATAAAGACCTCCCATGTAAACCAGAAAACACTAATAAACTTGGTGCTCCGTCAGCATACAGAGTGTGGCGTTGGGTTGAATATTTGCTGGGACACGGTGGCTTTGAGCAGGACCCTGTGTTTCCCAGACTCCTGGCTGGGGAATGTTCTTGAGACTAAGTCTCAAAGATGAAAAGCTTTATGATTGCTGCCTAAGCCCAATTTTTTCCTTCATCGTTTGACTTAATTTGTTTGTTCAGACTCCACTACCATAAATGGTGACCCATAACCTTTCTGAAATGCATTTAAAATTGTATAGCTCAAGGGGCTGATTATTTATTTACCAAGAGTTTTGCCCACACATTAATGATTCAGAGAAGGCAAAATAAAGAACATTTTAAAAATAGGAAGAAAGACTATTTGATAAGAGTTTTCTTCTTCCAGTACTGACAGCTTAGTGACGCATCAGTCACAGGGCAGTTTAAGGGGCAAATTCCTCATTTGTGCATCTGGATGGGGAAAGATTGATTTGTTTAATACACAATATGATTAGTTTTAGAACCCTTCAAATAACAGATGCCTTATTATGAAAACAGAGGACAATAACTGTATTTCTTCTTTAAATTCCAGCTAATATGTTTGCTACTTATACATCCTCTCAGACTGGGAGCCTCTTGACTCAGTGGAGTCAGGGTTCTCAGACCATTTCTGCGCAACCGTTCCATAAATATTTAGGCTTAGGGGACTCTCATCCCCAGAGTTTTAAACTTTCTGTTATTGTCAAGATATGCAAACATGTATAAAAATAGAAAAAAATAGTAAATCACTCAGCTTGAACAATTATCCACACAAAATTCCTCAGTTCACTGTCCCAGGATTATTTAAACACCAATCTTAGGAAAAACAAGGTGATTCCTAAAATTCATTTCAGAATGAAAAACATGATTCCAACTATACTTCCATATCTTATGGATCAATATTATCATGGCTACATTTTCTCTCCTTTTGCCACAAAAGAGAGTATCTAAATTACAGAAATTAGGGACATTTTTTGTTCTTGTGGTAAGCTAACTATGAACGGTGCCACTAGATCCCCAGCAGAAGTCACAGTTGTTGTCATGACACTTTTGCTGTGCCAGTTGTGTATACCTTGCTTTGTGTTTTCAGCAACTCAGACTAAAAGTTATCTTTGTACAATAAACCAGGATAAAAGAAAAAGACTGAAAAAATCTTAATATTTTGCAAGTGTACCTTTATGAGAGCTTTTTGTAGTGGGGTACTGATCACTTTTCCCCCAAGAGATTACTTTAAATACCATGAATCCCCAGAAGAACTGCTCTTGGGTACTAATAAACTATAAGAAATATCAGAATGAATACTTAATAGTAGAATACTTAAGTTTTATTTCAAGAAACTATTTTAGGGAGGGTTTTTAGTCACTGTTAGCAGGTAAGACATTTATTGTTTTAGTATTTTGTTATTGTTGTTGTTGTTTTCGGCACCAGGAATAGAACTCAGGACCTTGAGCATGCCTGGCAGGTGCTTAGGCCACTGAGCTCTCTTCCTGGCCCTATTGCTTCAATTTTAATGTCTATTTTATTTAACCGCTGTTAGCTTAGTGATTATTTTTAATTTTGTATATCCCCAACTGAAATCCTAAAGTTTCAAATTTGAATTTTGAAGCCCTTTATAAAAAAATATTGTTTAGAGAAAACAGATGTACATTTCTGTGAGTCTAAGCATTTAATATGCTGGTTTTTGTGGTTTCATATTCGTTAGCTTGACTACCCTGTTCTTTGTTTTTAACCCAAAGCCATGTTATTTGACGTAGAAACTTCTAGAAAGTAGAGGTCAAATCTCTCGAACTCATTTTATATGACAGCCCTTATAAATAAATACCTAATGAATGCTTTCAGTGGTGCAATGGAGTGCCTGAGACCTGTAAGTAATGCCCTGGAAGTCCTCTGGACTCCTGGGGCTCACCAGGGAGCTCAGCACCACTGAGGCGATACTTTCTTTTTCGTGCCTGAGCTCTCCCTCAGATGCCAAGAACAGTGGGGTGGGGAGGAGAGAAGCCGAGCTCAGACTCGGGAGCCTTGCACACGCGGCTTCGCCTTGTAGCCAGGAACCTCAGCTTCCAGCCTTGGACATCCCCAGACCTCTCTTAAGCTTTTGTCTTCTTCTCTAAAAGACCCATCCCATGCCATTTTACACAACTTTCATCATTTATAAGTAACAACGTTGATAAAAAGTACTAAACTTGAGGGGTTGTTATAAGAATTAAATGAGAATTTTTCAAGTGTGAACACAGAAAGTTCTCAATAAAAAAGTTGTTTCTTATTACCTTATAGTCTGTCTCCATGTTTTTATTCATAAATTATTTTTAGCTGGAACCAGCCTAAATCCCTCAAGTGTGAAGTCATTCCAATGCTTTTGATTTGGAAAAGTTCCTACATACTTGACTTCTTTGAGAAGAATACTTTCACCCTAATTTTTATAGCATTTTATATTTTTCATAATGTATTTCAAAGACACTACAACACATGGTTTTGATAGAAAGGTTACATATTTTCTTGAATCCTTTATAATTATATTTTTCCAAAACACTAACACTAATGGTGGTGAGTGAGGTTGAAATGGAATTTCATTTTGGTTAGCCCTATTGTGAGGAATTATGTATAAAAAGGTGGCCACAAGAATTAGCCTGAACCCTGAAGGCAGCTTTTCTTTACAAAGTAAAAATACAAAATTAATCTTTGCCAGATGTCAGGAGCCAGTACACACATTTAGGTATGGACCCAACCCCGAAGTACATTGCTTAGTGAAAACAGCAAATACAGGACAAGGTAGAATCAGTTCCAATCTATGCTGGGAAAAAAGATAGAAAAATTTAGGTATATATAGGAACATGGCCACGTGGACAAGTTTGTGTACACCTAGAACAGCTCTTAGAGGATCAATAAGAAATCTCCAATGAATGCCCTGGAGAAAATCGCTGAAGATTTATGTTAGAAGAGAGACATCTCATTACGCAGTTTTGACACATGTCAACTATTTTTGTCAATATATATTTTACATTTTTAATAAAAAGTGTAAGAATTGCCACCATCTTTGTAGTCCTTTATTGAACTCTACCCACTGTCATTAGTGTACTAGGCTTCAAGTGCATAGAAGCTAATGTGCACAAGCATTTTGCAAAATGAGCAGAATGAACATGGCCTGCATCACTTGACAGAATGAATAACACAGGCTCCCTTTTCTTCTGTGCTTTGAACTAGAGTTTTCAGAGGTCTATGCGCCGTAGCCAGCAGCATAGGCACTGTACTCTTCACCACCTTGAAAATGAAAAGAATTTCCTCAAGTGCAATCTCAAATCACTGGGGTTAGAAATCCTGTCAACATCTATCGCTGCTGGGGTTTCACTTAAGGCAGAATCTTAAAATAATGTCTTTAAAACACCTGCTTTTCTTTTTACCTTATAGGAAAACCCTTGACACATAATTCATTTTCTGCCTTCAAAATTTTAACCAGGACTTGCACAAAATCCAATGGGTTTCCTGACCAAATATGGATGCCATTTGTGACAAATCCACTGCTGCTCCTTGGCTTCTGGAAGCACAACCAGGGGCTCAGAAAACACTGCTCTCTGACGCCCCCAGGGACTCTCCACTGTAAGTGACTTAGGCCAGCATTGTTCTTTTATGTTGGCATACAAAATCTGCGAGTGGATGCTCTGTTGACCCGCTGTAAACCCTTGGTTGTACTTGAGTTTTACTGAAAATGCGACTGTGTGGATTCTTCCACTCGGCGGATCGAGTCAAGAAGAAGCCCCCTGGATAAGTGAGGTGGAATTCATCAAAGCAGTTATTTCTCACTACACTTCTTCAAAATGGTCATGTGGGGCATTGGGCTTATGCCTAATTTTAATAACTTTACTTTTCCTTTCCTTTGAATCTAGGGGAAAAAGAAAAGTGCGTTCAGCCTCCTTTTGTCTCTTAAAACCGATTTGCTCTCACCATCCCTCCCGAATCTGTCAAACACAGCTGTAGTGCTTGTACTGTGTGGCTTTCAGATGCCTTCTGAAGCGATAGTTCTCCAGAGCCTTTCTCTCTTCTCTTAAAGAGCTATATAAGCCATGGCTTTAGAAATTATAAATGAACCACCTTCCTCTCTCTGGAAAGTCAGTCCTAAGAACAATGTGAGTTTACTTCATCCCAATCCTGTTTTCTTTTATTGTAAGTTGGGGGAAAGGATAAATAAGAACATTTAAATTTAAATTGTGATACCAGAGGCTACTTTAAAAATCACATGTCACATGGTAGGGTACAGTGGGTTATAATTTGAAGTCTCTCTTTCTTTTTCGAGGACTGATATTGCTTCAGCTCTACCCAGAGCGTGAAAACACTTCATGCCCTCCTCCTCTGCTAGTCACTTGGCCTTTCCTTTCCCCTCCTCTCTGGCCATTCGCCTTTCCTCCCCTCCTCACTTAGAGAAAGGAAGTGGTAATCTGAGATCCAGGAGCTCCACCCACCTCCCTCCTCACAAATCTTCACCACCAGCAGTCATTTTGCCTACAACAGCTACAGCTCTAAATTCTTTTGAAAAAGCACCAAATTGCCCAGAAAAAGTTAAAATCTTTGGTCTGTGAAGAAGCTGGCTATTTCCCAGAGCTCTGCCACACAGTAGAAGGACAAAGAAAATTTACCAGGGTCAGGGGATGGAAAAGAATGTGGGGCATTCCTGGGACGTCCCCCAGAGCTGAGGGGCGCAGGAGTTAAGTTTTGGAGAGACGCTGCCTGCACAGAGAAGAAAAGGCGGAAAACAAAAGCAGGGATTGTGTCTTTCACTAGTATCTTTCCTGAAAGCGGAATTCCTGGAACCTCTGGAATGAGTACTCACTTAATTTTTTAAAATTATCAATTAAATGAATACACATGAAAGGAACTGTTCCAATCATTCTTCTGCCATCTGTTCAAAACTTAAGCAAGAAGAAATTATGTTTGAATACAAGGCATCTAGTTACTCTTTTTAGAGTGAGGTTGTGTCCCATTTAGGGTGATACTCATCGCAAACTAGGTAACAGAGAGTTGGAGGATAAACTCCACCAGCAGAGCTCAGAGCACGTTACAGAGGAGGATTTTGACGCTTCTGACGTGCTGCAAGGTTAGGGAAAGCACTGCCTCGTATATCTCGCGGGTTTGGCAATTGTGGCTACATTCCTTAAAATATCCAAAGTTCAGTCACTTACGCTGTTTAAATTTAATTTATTGTTGTATGTGGAGGTGCATTCTGGAGCCTTGGGCAAAGCTCGGAAGAGGAGGAGATAAGTGCTGACTCTTAGAAATTTCTGCTTTCAAGAAAAAGTAATTACAAAAATCCTCGAACACAGGAAAGGCTGGTATCCCCAGTGTTAACTACAGCAAATACGGCAGGGTTTTTTTCTTTTACAATTACAGACCCTGTTAGTATTCAGTTTGACATGTTTAGCCAAGTGTGAATAGGTAACAATAACTGTAAAGGAGGTAAGACATACCGCCTGATTCCAGAGTAACTCGAAAGTTCTAGATTGCAGGTCCCTGAACATCTGTGAAGCACTGTGTTATGGGGTTTCTGCACACTTGCAGAAATGTGGGAATGAGGCACATTTACATAGGAAAGATGGATGCTTAGCAGTAGACTTTTTCTTTTCTTTTTTAAAAAATGTATTTAGTACAGGGTCTACAGGATCTCACTACACAGATTGGACTCGCAGTGACCCTCCTGTTTTCAGCCTCCCAAGCGCTGGGATTACAGGCATGTGCCACCATTCCTAGTCTAGGAGGAGGCCTTTTCAACTGACCATTTCACAGATGGAGATTACTAAGGAGGAGGAAAGGACCGGCAGGAGTGAGTGAGGCCAAACCCTCGCCTGCATCCTTCAAGCTTACCTTGGCTAGCTGCTCGTGGATCTCCAGCAGGCTGGGTCTGTTGACCTTGGGCCCACTGACGCTGCCAGTGTTGCGGTAGTACTCAATCTTGGGCACTGCATCCACGGTATTGTGGCCAAAGGTTTGTAGGTAGTATGTGTTTGTGTGTGTGTCGTAGGCATGAAAACTGGAGTCTGTTTTAGCAGTTTCTCCATTTTGTAAGAAATTGTCATAACATTCCTGATTGCCAGGTCTAAAGCTGATTCTCAGTCGGTTCTGCGCTTCATCCCCAAAAGAGGTCTCTTCATAGTGGGGTGGGTCACTGTCATCATTTACTGTGGCACAGCTCTCCTGGCCCTCGTTTACGATGTTAACTTGAAAGCGACTGGTACTGCTGGACACCGAATCCAGAAATATGTTGGAAGAGTTGTTCATCGACATCTTCTGAAATGGATTCTTTGGACTGAGCTATTACCTTTTAGTAACCTTAAAGATTTAGTTTTTTAAAAATCTATATATTTTTTGCCTAGAAATAAACACTAATGTAGTTACATTAGGGAGCTCTTGGCTTTTGTCCTAGATGAACTCGATAGATAGATCTTTCATACATTGTCTCCTACATAATCTTCAGGACGGTTGTCAAAGCTGTCATTGAAAAAGAAAATTAAATTTGTTCCAAACAATACAAACACATTTAAGTAAGGCTAGAGAATGACTGAATAGTTTTCCTCTACAAGACATATATGTATAAATTAATTTCTGAAAACTGGATACCCAGTGACCCTAGTGACTTGAGCAATGAAATCCTATAATATGTAACTGGGGCCTTGCTCCAGCAAACAGAATTTCCAAGGGAGGCATTGATGTGTTACTGCATTTGTGGTTTTGCTTGGATTCCGTGTAGCTGGAGTCAGTACGGCTTTCGGCTTTCGGAGAACATGTAACTCTAGCAGTCCAGTGCAGCTAGAAGGGTTGAGAATATTCTTAGCCTGAAGTGGAGCTCGCTGGCAGCACCAAATGTGGAAGCTACAAAGTATTTTCATGATCGATAGGCACATTCATTATAGCATAATAAAATGAAAACTGAAAACTTCTTTCAAAATGCATTTGTTCTAGTTTATAAACATCTATATGAATTCAAGTGATGTATTCTTTTTTTAAGAAATATTTTTTGCCTATGCAACAAGTGAAAAATTACATTTTAGATGTTAATTGAAAAAATGTAACCCATCAAAATGATGTCTCTATAAGTTCTTGGATCTTCTACTAGGCTTAAAAATGTTTCATTTGCCCCCAAACTTCTTTGTCTATATATGTATAGCAAGTGCTGTAAAGGAATCTTTAAAAATACATGAGCATTTGGGAAAAAGAGATAAGTCATGTTCCCTCATAAAGTCTATGCTATTTTTAGATAAGATAACCTTGCTCTAAAGCTCTTTTTAATGAAATATCCTCAACAATTGAGGGTTTACATTTGATTGCGAGATGATTAGACTGCACAGCAATTTTCACGGTATTGTAATATTAACTCATCTTGAAACACTTTCTTTAGAATCATATTTCTTGGTGGATACCTTAAAAATTTGGGTTTTCAAAGAAAGTTCTAGAAAAGTGAGATACGTCTAAACAAAGACTTGCCTCTGTCATATTATTAAAGTTAATTCTTTGACTAGAATGAATGCCAACTTAAGTTTTCAGACAACTTTTCCTGGTGAAATAAGCTAAGCTATTATTTTTTTTAAGTTTTACAGAGCCACTGAAGTCCTTTTCTCCACTCCTCAAAATCTACTGCATGGCATAGTATTAAATGCAGTTTTCGCTTTCCCCAGAAATGTTTAACTTACCACCCAGGAGCCTGCTTCTGAGGAACTGTAACCTACAGACTGCCCAGGCATTTATGGAGTGCTTACCTTTCAGCCCAGACGGTAGGCTTCTTCTTATTCGTTAGAGGTTTCCTTGAAAGAGAGGACTTTGTAGTGATTGGCCTGGCAAACTGCGAGAAGCCCCACCCATTCATTAGCCCTGAGGAAACTTTAAGTACCACATCAACTAGTAACTACTAGTAAACCATTAATCCTTTTAGGCAGGATATAAAATAAAGCTTCTTTAATTCATAAGGAGAATTAGATTGCTCAACAGGAATTATTTAAAAAAATATTGCTTCAGTATTTTGGGGCCAGGTAAATCCAGCCCCAAGGTCTTATTTATAGGAAGTTCTAGAGACTATTTTTCAGAGATATACTAAAATATAGTTCTCCAGTGGTAATCTCAGTGTCACATAACTAGAAAGTGGCATCAGAAATTATTTTTATCTTTAATTATTTGTTAAATATTGCCTTGACTCTACTCTGCTTGAGAAGTGATCAGTTAAGAGAAGAATCAATGATTTATTGAGAAGATTTCTCCCTGGTAAGAAATTTTTCTCCAGCAGGAATCAAACTGGAACACATTTCCCAGTGGCACTACTGAATGACCCCTTTGTCTCCAACTGGAAAAAACATTTTTATCAAACCCAGTTTTTGAGTTTTGCTGACAAGGTTTTGCTCAAATCTACGAGTTAGTGATTATTAAGACAGCCCAGACAGTCCCTCCTGCAGGTTCTGTCATTGGTTTTCAATCAGGATGATTGAATGAGTCTTCTTGCTAGCAAGAAACTGCCCAAGTGATTTCCCATTGTGCTGGGAGCTTGGTTGTGGTGCAATATAGAAGTTAAGAGCAGATTCTGGAGCTAGAAGCTTTGATTTATACTCCAATTCTGCTATTTCCTGTGTGAACTCAGGCATGTCGCTCAGTCTTTCTGTTGTCTTCATTTTCTCATCTATGAATGTAGTTGTGGGCAATTGTGCTACCGACCTTACGGAATGTTGTGAGGATTAAGTGCCCTAATTTGTTCCAGGGTTTAGATTGGCACGAGCATACACACAATCCTGACTTTGGCTATTTTAGTGGTATTCATAGTTGGCTTGTGACTTACACATCCTTACATTGGAGGTTCTGAGATCAGTCATTAGAACTTGGAATAACTATTCTGCGTATTAAAACAGGGGAAAAGTTTCATTGATGAGCAGATATAGGATTATATAACAGTGTATGAAGACACCTAAGTGGAGAAACCTTTGAGTCCTCCTAGGAAGGTTCATGGCATGCTGCTGAGGCCAATGTCATGAGGTTATATCCAAGACAAAGAGAAGTCTCGGTAATTCAATTTTCTTTTAAGGGCCACAATAGAAGTCTTTTATGTGTGCACCCAAGGGCTCTAATTTCCACATAGAAGTCCTTTAGACATGGATATTAGACACATTTCAGGTTTGAAGTGAAGTTGTCTGGTTTGATTAGATCTGTGGCCAATTGGAGTGAAGTTGGAGGTCAAAATAAGTGCCAGTCATTGAATTGGGTCAGGAGCTATGAATTGACACTGTCCAAACCCTACTTGCTTTTCCTCTATCAAAGGCTGAGAGTGCTTCTGATACCAGTTCCTTGCTGCCTGCCTGCCTGACTACAGAAGAGTGTGAATTAGTTTTAGTCTTGGTCTTACCTCGACCAGACATTTTCATTCTAGGTGAAATGAAAGTCTTTGCTCTTCATTAAAGGATTCCTGGAACAGATGGGAGATGGTTTTGTGGATGTTGGACAAAATTAAATTATCCATAAAGTTAACCTTGAAGGATGAACCTGGCTTAGGCCTTTTGGAGAGGTGGGCAAGGTAATAGGAGCGCCTCTGTTCTCCTGCTCTCTCCCACATGGCTCTTGGGAAGAGGCAGGGTAGCTGATAAGAGTACGGCATTGGAATCTTGTGGAGGACTGCCCAGAGGGCTCTCCTGGAAAGAGGAGCAATCACCTCCTTCCTGGCTGAACCCGGCCCTATTTCCATACACCAATGTGTACAGAGCTGGTTAGAGCTTCCTTATGCCCTCAATTGGCTTTAAGCAACACAATTTGGTTCAGTGAAGGTGCTGATGATAGTTTTTGAAGCAAACCACCAGGGCAGTGTATCTCTACCCTGCAGCTCCCAAATAAAACATATGTGGTCCAGGTAGGATGCAGAGCCGTGTCCCATGCTGTTGGCTGGGATTGAGCCTCAAGATAAGAAGCTATGATTTCCCAGTGTGTAAAAGATTACACATCAGAACTGAAGCATTGACCCCAAAACTTTAGACACTAACTCAATTGTGTCATGCTGATTACTCTTTCAGCACATCCTTCTGTCTGACTACTGCAGAGGTGCCTGCAGGCCTCCCACACAGCCCAGCTCACAGCACTCACCTACTTCCCTCCAACCTCATGGTCACTCATCCTCAAGCCACTCCTCTCTTCATGAATTAATAAAACCCAGGTTTGGCCCTGGATTGAGGTCTTTGTTCCAGTTGGCCATCATCAGAACTGAACTTAGAACCCAATGACCCACTGTAACTGCAAGTGACTTAGTGGATTTATTCTCACCATGGGCTGCCATGGAAGTAGTAGATTAGAATTAATCACTTGGATTCCAATAACTTCTCCTTGGGATTATAAATAGAAACTTCCTGAGCCTCGACAACACTGAGCTCTAACAGGAAAGATGAGCATTTCATAAAATGTCCTTGTTGTATACTATCTAGCCAACATTTTGAATTCAGACAGTTATTGTATTTATTAGTTCTGAATATACAGGTGATAGCCCAGCTCTGCTCCCCCAAAAGCAAATTTAAGGCACACAATAGGCTGTGAATAAAAGCTGGGGCTGTTTAGATTCGGTCTGGCAACATGGAAGAAGCCATGAGTGAAGACACTTTTGGTTAACAGACTTTCTCTGTGTACAATAGGGCACTGCAGTTTTCATCTGATTTTTTAAAAACATTTTATTTTAGGGAAGGTCTATAGGGTGTTCAGGGTCCCACTACTAGATCGAACTCATAGTAATCTGCCTGTTTACAGCCTCCCAAGATCTGGGATTACAGGCATGCGCCACCATGCCCAGTCTCAATTGCCATCTCAGTGCACCCTGGGGGTGGGGCCAGCATGGCAGGCCTGGGGATTAAACCCCCAACCCTTGCGCCTGCTTGCAGACACTTTAATCCGCTAAGCTATTTGGCTAGCCCTTGTAGTTGTCATCTGAAAATGCTGATGCTTCATAAATATTACTTGTCTTTTAGCTTTCTGAGACTTGTTTTTTTTTTTTTTTTTTTTGTTTTTGTTTTAAATAAAGACCTGATTTTGCTATATTTTAGTTTTCAAAATGGAGAATTTTGGTGTGTGTTTTACCTGGGAGATAAACAAAACACCTGGTACTTGGATACATATTTCTGAGAGCCCTTTAAATGCCTGGGTCACCACAAAGATGTCTAGTGCCCTGACATATACAATCTTAAGCAAGTTTGGCTTAGCTCAGCTTAGCGATGTCTCCTCAGGCCAAATTACCAACTGGCTGCAGGCTGTTCCAGGCCTGCCTTCTTGTACAACAGGTTTGACCCTGGGTTGAGGTCTTTGTTCCAGTTAGCCATCATCAGAATTGGACTTAGAACCCCTTGGCTCCCTATAACTGCAAATGTGCCTTAGTGGCTTTATTTTCACCATGGGCTGCCCTGGCAGTAGTAGATTAGAATTAATTATGGAGACTTCTTGAGGTAGAAGTTATGCCCAGAAGAGTCTCAACTAGCACAGCTGTGTTCTAAATCTACTAGAAGATGGAAAACATCAGGGAAACTCAGGGGCATGGCCAGTTTTGGAATTCCATGGTCCCAAGTGGTAACCATGGTGGTTGATGTGGAAGTATGGAGGAGAGTCTCAGGGAGTAGGAGTGTGCTGAACCTCTCAGGTTCAATTGCAAACCCAAGCACCCCCAGCTTGGTCACCTCAAGAAATAACTATCTTTTTTTTTTGACTCTGTTCCTTGTGTATGAAACTAAGATAAAATAGAAATTGTCTCCCAAATTCAGAAGAATGTTAAGTGTGTCAGATGAGTGGAAAGCACCTAATTTAGTGCTTTCAGTAAATAATAGTCTTATTTGTCTTGTCTTGTCATGTTTGGCTGTTCTGCAGTCTCTCGCGCCATAAATGTTTTCGTATTTATTTATTCCTTGCTATATTCCTTCCTGTAGTGAGCATGGAGAACCAGAACTGTGTAGCTGGAAGGACTTTGAGATGATATAATTCTTTCTTTCCATTTTTTAAATCGAGAGAACACAGACTGAATAACCTATACGAAGCCCTTACTTCCTAGGGTTGGGGAAACCCTTCCACTACATCTTGAAGAAGTTACTAAGTACTGACAGCACAGTATGTATTTGTGCTATCTGGGGGTTCTTGGGGTGCTCACACATCTGCTGTGTCTCTTATCTGCCCAGAATTCTTGCAAGATAGCCAAGGTGGGCTTCTTGGCCTTGTTTTACAGATGTGGAAAATACTTTGTCCCGAAGTAACTAACTTTCTAACTCATAAAGCTAGTTCTTGCGTGGGGCCAAACTCAGAATTTAAATCTCTTGGACTTAAGCTCTTAGGCTGAAAATCTTCTCATGACACTTTAAATCTTTATTCTCGGATCTCTAGCATTTTTAGGGTGCTGAAGCTCACAGAGGTTGGACATCTTGCCCAAGGTTGCATAGCTAACTCATGGCGCCACAGCTGAGACCGGATTTTGTGTTCTGGGAAAGTGCTTTCCGCTGCGCTGTGGCATAAACTCCCCTTTCCTTCTGTTTATATAAGGGTCAGTGAAAGGAGTACTAGTATGAGGCAGGTCTAGTTTGGATCCCAAGAATTTGTGGATCCAAGTATTATACTACAAGAGACTGTGCTAGCAAACTCAGAAGTGTCTGAGCTTTGTGACGATGGAGAACCTGTAGACAGCATGGATTTGAGGTTTTGGTTGTGGTCCTGCAAAGCTTTTGGGTCTGTGACTGTTCTTCAAAAGCTCACATTGGCCTC